ATTAGTATTGTTCCTAGCCTATGTCGGCAGAGAAAACATCACCACTTGATTCAGCTTTCATTTTCAAGTTGGCGCAGCTGTGAAACCAGGAGCGTTTACAACAAGAGATCAAGTGTGCCAAAACTGCTGCACTAAACCCTCTTCTTCTGGAAGCGGGGAGGGGAGCCCATCTGTACCCCTTGATGCATCTTTGGACGCGGCTTTCAGCCATTCGTGCCTTTTACCTTCAGCTGTGATGTAGGTGTTTGTTATTTTTGTCCTCCTTGAACTGCGAGTAAGCGCAAGGTGTACGACTTTGTTATTTTACCTGCTGCTGTCTCGGATAACTATCAAATACTCAACGAATTTATCTTGCGGGGTGTAGAGGCATTGGCCCTTGTCGCATAGTGGACTCTCAAATCAAAATGCTGATTGCTCTTGTTTTTTAAATGGTTTCCACCTACGGAGCTGCTGGACTGAATTCAATATCAGGCTAACCTGATGAAGAAGCAAAGGGGATAAAGAGAGAGTAGTGCCAAAACCAGAGCTTTGTCAGGTCTTATCGAGGGCTGCCTTGTGACAGCCAGAGTCCTGGCTTATTGGCCGTCTGACACGTGCCCTTGTTTTGTTATTTCTACACCGGGCCACAATTCTTGGCTACTGCTGGGGAAAATGTATTTAAAAAGGTGAAGGGAGAGGCTGCCCTCTGAGGGAAAGGACAGCTGAGTGTCTGAGTGCAGCCTGAACAGAAATGGGGTTAGCAGAATGAGAAAGCTGTGCTTTACTGGCTGCCATTTGTTTTTTCCATCTTCAAGAGAAAGGTTGCAGAGGTGCTTGTTTTTATTTTTGCTAGTCATGTTAACAGGAGGCCAAAACCGCCCCCTCGTTCTGCTGGGAGGCGTTGGTGTGCAAGAGGGGAGGCAGACAGGGTGGGTGCCGAGGGAAGCGGTGGGCTGGGGGCAGCAGGAGCTCGGAGCGGCTCGCACCGACACCAGCCCTGGTAGCACCTGCCCCCCCGGCCCGGCCCCGGAGAAGCCCCCTGCTTCTCCCAGTAAAGACTGAAACGTCCAGAAGAGCAAGAACCAGTGCCTTCTCCACAGGGAACAGGAAAGCCTTGGGGGGGGTTCTCTTTTAGGAAGCCCTTGCAGTACTGGGTGCTCCCCTTCAGGTTTTACTCTGCTGTGCCTTTAGATGCTACTGAGCATTTGTGGCTCACTTAAGAAAAACATTGCAAGGCAAATGACACCACCTTCCTCGCTTTCGTCGGCTCCTTCATTCCCTCCATTTGTTTCCTTGGTATATATACATATACACCTTGTAGTAAGTTTTCAAAAGCTACAAGGGATCCTTCAGTGCTTAACACCACTTGGCCCTGTCTCTTTTCTCCTCCACTCCAAGGTATGTCCTGCCAGTATAAAAGAACAAAGAGATTACCATCCTCAGCAAATCTTTCAAGTCAGTCCTAGTTGACTTTTTAAAAAAAGTCCTGCCCTGTCGGAACTCCGTCCCTGCACCAGCGTGAGCCATGGCTGGGAGCGAGGTGCCAGGCGGGCTCCACGCAGCACAGGTGAAGACTCCCTCTCAGGCTTTACTTGTTTCCTCCTTCTTCTTCCCCTCTCCCCTGTCATCCCTCGCTCACAGCCACAGAAGTTGGGTTCAGTATTTGAAGTTTTTTTAATACCTTGTATATTTTAGATCTGCACAATGTACTCTGGATCTTGAACAAAGCAGCACACCCTCTTTGGGCTTGCTCTTGGTACCTCACCAGTTATTTAAAGACCACGGCTGTATACAAACGAACTCCTCACAACCCAACGCCCTTACTCCACAACTTGTTTGCAGTACCACGCAGCATCTAGAACCCCAGGCTGCAGGCAGCAGAGATACTTAATCGGTTTACTGCAGCATGGCTGAAGGTCACAGGTGTGAGAATAACAGCACTTGTGAAGAGGCCTAAATGAATCAGTTCCTTTGATTCCCAACGGAACTAAGTACTGAAGTACTTCAACAGAACCAGCTAAATAAAGCTTGCACAGTCACCTTGTTTCAAAAAAAAAAAAACAACCCTAAGAAACTTAAAAAGCTTGTGCCTGTTGATAATTTTTTCTACACCAACATTCTATGATGGTTGCAAAGCCTCCCAAAGCACCTCCAGCGCATACAGAACCGTACGGATTGTATAGGCAGCAGGCAAGCTGTGGCTGAAGAGCCGGCTCTTGGATAGGTGCTGTTCAGTTCTTTGCAAGTCAGCGTAACAGCAGACCTACCTCCGGGGCTGCTTCATGACAGCCATTACACCGGTAATTATCCAAGCCCTGCACACGCGCAGGAATATTCCCCTGCTCATCTAGAAGAAGGAGCCACGCTAAGGTAATGCAGAGGTAGGCATCGATCCCCTTCTTTCTGAAAAGTATTTTCATCTCAGGAAAGCTTCAAGATGGTACAGCTGATGTAAACGGCCATCTCCATCACCTCAGTTTGCGCAGTGATTCCAACAGAACTCCACAAGTTCAATATTCTGCCTCCTTTAAAAAACACCATTCTATGTAGCAGCTGACAGTTCAAAGTATTCTTCCTGCCCACGTCCATCCACTCTTCTCAAACAGCCGAGTTCATTTTCCAAGATGAGTATGTTCAAACTGCTAGGCTGTTCTTTCTCGACTTACTCTCTAGCACATCAGCAACGCCCCAGCTCACACCAAACCCGGGCGCTAGACCGGGTGGAGGTGTCAGTGCACGGAAGAGAGAACCGCGTGTCTCCTATGGCTCCATTCCAAGGGCAGCTTCTGACCTCACTGGTAAGCCTGACACACCCTGCTGGCGGTCAGGTCTGCAGCCCAGACCAGGACCATCATCAGCTTCAACTTCTGACTTCTGACAAGGTCACACTCCCATCAAGGAAAAGGAATACTCTGTTCCAGATTCAGCAGTACACAAGAATAAGCAAGGTAATTCTTGTGATGTACACAGGACTATGTCCTTGAAGTTACGAAGTACTCTTAAGTATTCACTGGTTCACGGCAAAAGTTCTCAACCAGCTTGGCAGATTCAGCTTTCCAAACTAGCCTACAGCAGTAAATTGTCCTCTGGGAACAGTTACTAAGTCTCTCTGTGCTTGCTACTCTCCAGTTACAGGTGATGTATTACGTCCACAGGGATTCTGAGAATCCCATCACAATGAAGAACGACAGCAGAATAATATTTAGGTCATTAGTCCTTTTTTAAAAATGCAAAATTTGAATAAACAGTATCTGCAAGCATGAAGTATCACCAAGATGGGAAGTATACGATGGCAGGCTGCAAACAGTTTAGCCTTCCACTTGCCTAGAGAAACTCAAGCTCCTTGTAAAACAATGACAAGACCATGAGCCAAAATAAATCTTTAAGCTCGGATTAATGTGCTCTTTTCAGTCACGCTGTTTGGTTCAACTTCTGGTTGTGCCTGGCCTACCAGTTGAACGCGAGTTGCTTTTTGTTCAGGTAACTTTCTTTTGATTCACAATCACAGTCACATCAGTCGTTCCCAAACACTTTCAACCCATTCATAGCTCATTTTTTACACCATAAAATGTGGCATCTTCCTGCACTACTACTGTAAAAGCTTATCAGCATGAGCAAAGGATTACTTTCTATTTCTAGCATGGTATTTACTGTTAAGGAGCATTGGTGTTAATACAATTCAAACCTTTAAAAAAACCAAAAGCAAACCAAACCACTGCAGATGTAATCAAGCAATCATGAAGCCTTTCCAGTTCTCCTAATGCCAGCAGCAGGTAGTTCATGCTCACGTTGCCCTATGCGTGTCGAGGTTTGTGACTGACTCAAATACAGTATTTCACTTGAGACTACCTACATTTTAAGACATTATTTGAAGGTATTTGGACATACAATTCTATGAAGCATTTGCTCCACATATCGGTTCTCCAAGGTTCAGTTTGCCCTGCCCTGCATTATCCACTTCTGGAAAGCAGACTTAAGACTGGGAAACACTTAAATTTCTTACTGGTTTGTGGAAAAAGAACCGTAGCTGAACATTCATTCAAATATTAGTCCTCTGTGACAGGCATTCACTATGATTCTCACCTCAAACTTTCAAAAACCTGAAAAGACAATACGGCATCCTTTGGGTGATCAGTCACATTCAAAGAACTGCTCTTTACCAACAGGCACAAATTTTCAAGCAAAGCTAACTACTGAAACTTATTCCCACTCTTTTAACAGATCTCTTCTGAACAGGGCAGCTGCTGTTCCCTTCCTCATCATTTGTACTACTGGCATGAGCGTATCACAAAAGACAAAAAAAAAAAAAAAAAGAATCTATTTAGCAGACTAAATATTTACAATTATACCCTGTATATGTGCCACGTCCATTAATTCATAAGCTGTAACTTAGAAATTCTAGATTTAAAGTTACTTTAAAACAGGCTGATGTGACCAAGCACTTCCAAAAGATCAGAACTGAACATGTAGCTTAGTAACGCAACAAGTACCATTACAAAGATGACACGCGTGAATTGCATGTCACGCAACTGGTGTCTCAGACTAAGCTTATAAAACACGCAGACAGCAGACTGCCTGCCATCAGGGCAACGTTCTCATTCTGTTCTATCTCGGAGCGCTGCATGCATCCTCAGATCCATCCAAGAAGGCTCCCCTACCGAGAAAGCTTTAGTTCTGGCATCTCTGCAGCCCTTGGAAGCAGAACGGAAATTTTACAACAGAGGTTGACCAGAAAAGACAGAACAGGCCGCTGTATCACTTCACTTGTGGTCTGCCCAGCCGAAGCTACCACAACAGCACTGGGAAGACAAGGCAGAACCAGATCGCTTCTGAGCTTCACTTACATCACCAGGCAGGTTTTGAAAAAAGTGAAGACCCACAGTTGACATGGAAAAGCAGAGTTTTATCTTCATAAGAAAATCCATGCCTGCACATCAACCTCAAGGTCTCAGCAACATTAAGAAGGTGCACCATAAGCTTTTCCATAGCAATAACACTTAACCAAAGAAAAAGGTTTTTTCAAAAAATATTTTATTAGAAAAAAATTAAAAGTTATTCAATAAACCACTGTACAAAACATATTTCTTTGGTCAATTTGTGAAAGTTGCCTTAATTTCTTTAACTACCCACATACGTGAAAGGGATTTTTCTTAAATAAAGAACTGATGTAGACAACAAAGCAAGCTGCTGTTGTTGGCAATAACTATGTAATCACCTTCTCAAGGGATGTTTGAGGCTGCACGCATGACTTACAGAAGAATTCAAAACTGATCAGAAGAGCGCAGGTGGAAGACCGCTGCCAAAGAGTAAGCGCCAAGAACTTGGTATTTTCCATTGCGAAGAAGCATCAGTGGAATCGTTGCTCTGCAACAAAACCAGAGTAATTCATTAAGTTTTAGATAGTAACGATGTCATTCTACCTCTGGCATATGTATTAAAATAATGGGGAGCATTTCAAGTGTCAATATCATTGTGGGTTGCTTTAGAGAAGAGTACTGGAAGATCAAACTTGATCAAACCTTTACACAATTTTCCCCCACACCTGTCAGACAAAAGAACCGGTGTTTAGGTTTGGTTTTTCAAGTGGGGAAATTCCCAGTGAGATTTTAATCAAAATATATCTTTAATTTGGCATATCCTTGATGACCAAGGGCCAAACCAAACCCAACTCATACATTTTTAACTCTTCTAAAGTTCAGCTGAGTAACATTTTTAATGTTCCAGATTGAAAAAAAAAAAAGAAAATAATGCATAAAAAAATACGAAAGCAAGAACTCTAGATCAAACAGCACTTACTTCGCTTTTAATTAGCTGGAGCCATTCATTAAGATAGTTAACAAGAGCAAATGCGTCAGGGATGTTGTCCCCTTCTGAGCAGAATTTCAGAAGAACTGCCATTTGGATTCCTTTTGAACAGCTGCAACAAAAATGAGCAGGCATTTCTATTACTTTTGCAGAACAGTTACATTTATGTATTAAGAGCAACAACAATCTGCATATTGCTTGTTAAAAAAAACCAAAACCAAACAAAGTAAAACTATATGCATATACAGAGAGGGTTTTTTTCTCCCCCTCTCCAGACCTCCTTAATTGCATTTTCACACTTCATGTTCTTCTTCTTAGTCTTGAATTTGTTCTTTGCTTTGTGAGGCAGGAATCTCAGGTCATGGAAGAGCTACCCAGGGCCTCTTTTACACACTTAGTTTGCATTTTTGTGCTGGTGGGGCATCTATACACATCCTTTGACACAATCACTCCTTATCTTTCTGTGTATTTCAAACAGCAGTTTTGCAGGCTGCATATCACTACTTTACTCACAATATTCCCATTTTTTCATTCAGATATTAAGATTCTTATTACATTTTATATTTTTTTTTCCCCGAAGTCCTGGGAAGTCTTTTCCTTCGCATTTGTATATTGTTTCCATACTGAAGTCAGTACAAAGGTAAGTATGCTATTAGTAACTCTCCTGCTGTTGGATGCAACAGTTTGGACAGGTCTCAAAAACAATAGCTAAAAAAATAAAAGTGAATTTTCCACCTGACACTTACAAACCAAACACCTTTTGCAGAGCTAACACAGTTGTACCATAATGAGAGAGTATTACTATATAAAATTTGAAACTCAGACGTGCTTTCAGCACAACTTCTGATGCACACATGTTTTTACAAAACCCCCCCATCTAATTGTTTGCTGGCCCTGAAATCTTAACTCATTCTTAGATTCTTAGTGCTTAGATTTTATTTTTTTTTTTTTTACAAACGATGATGGAACTATTTGTCACAGGAAACAGCTTTAGTTAAATTATCACAGCTACAGGAATTTTACTATTTACAAATTGTGGTTGGCATAAAATCAGATACCAGGTTAATCACGATCTTAACTGTAAAGGCTTTGTTATTTTCCTTTAGCCCATTCATTTACATTTTTATCATATTTTAACTTTATGATGCAGAATTCCCTATTTTTTTCCTCTTAATTATGGGCTTGATCTGGAAGAAGTTCTATTCCTATAAAACCCTTTCCTATGAAAAGAGGGACTTTTCTTTTCCTATAACAGAGCGGTTTAAAAGATCATTTTACCCATGTACTAAAACCAAGACTTTTTCTTTTATCTTCCTGCGCTTATCTTTAGACAACTCACCTCTCAGTAAACAATAGTTTTGTGATGCCACCTCCAGGAATATGTAGAACTTTTTCTGTATCATCTATTCCAGGGTAAGCTGCTACTTTTTCCATTTCTTTCCAGTTTAGCTCCTGCATAAGGCCTCCGACTGCTTTCTCAAGATCAGGTGTAAGTAGGTACCGTAGTGGTGTCCTAGAAACAAACCCAGAATACATTCAGCCTGACAATAAAAGACACTACCAACGTTATTACTTGTGACCGACAGAAGCTGCAAGCATTGAGGACCTCGCACCCGCAATGGAGAATTGCACTGACCTTCCTTCCCTTCCTCCTCAAATCAAAGTTAAAAAGTAGTCTGTGGCCTCAAAACACTAAACTACTCAACTTTCTGCCACAAACAGAAGTAAGGTATCCTCTTTTTAGGAGCGCAAACAACTGGCAAGTACCAGACACATAAGCACATAAATAGGAGAACGGCTTATGGTTGTTAAAATGATTTACAAATAAAATGTGTTTTTTCTTCCTTCAGATAGAAGATGATTAATTTCAAGTTTGTTAGGGTAAACTTGGACTTCACAGTGATACAGTATTTTTAATAAACTCACACTACAAATATACACAGACTTCAGTCAAGTCTAAGTATTTTCTGAACGCGCTACCCTCACTCTTCAGTGAATCTGCTGTAAGAGAGTTATTCTGCGGTGCTGGGGGGAAGGTGTGCTAAATCACCACCACTCAGACCGCATCGCGTAACCATCAGGCTCCCTCATTTCATTCCGTGCTAGCTGGCCATTCTGCAACTGGATGCAAATATCACTGGTAACTACATCGGGGACATGCACGGACCGAAACCTCCTTTAAGGCCCTACGCATCTATACAGCCTGAGGATAATAACTGGTCCTTCGCAAAAATACTGACTTTTGTTTGGTTTTGTTACATCACCAATTATGATGTCCTCAATTGGCGAGTAATGCTTGTTTTTTAAAGGGGTACTATCTAATAAACATAGTCTGAACCTTGCAGTTGCCTCCCAACAAAGAAGAATTGATAACTTCCTATAAAAAAAAAAAGACAACTTACTATATTAAAGAAAACCTTCAAAACACAGAATAATGAAGGAGAGGTAAGAAACTAACCAATATTCTAATTAACTGTTAAAAATCTAATCTGTGGCCTGTACGTTAGCAGCTAATCCCTGACATTGCTTGCAGGCACAAGAAATTAAGAAGTTAAAACTGAGGCTCTGTTGCTTGACAGTACAGGCCAAGTGCAATTTACTTGCAGCTTGTTATTTGCTCAGCACGTTCAACAGTAGTAACTAACAAAGTTCAGAGACTGATCCTGTGTAACGTCATGTTTTAATAGTATAGTAAGTATTTTATAACCTATGTACACAGCCAAGCAAAAGAACCCTGCCAAAAGTACTCAGCAGGGGGAAATATGCCAGTTTGTCAAAAAGAACAGAAACATCAATTAGGTCTTTTAACGACACAAACGTACCCAAGAAGTTGCTCATCATTGCGCTGGTATGCATGGCTGCTAGACAGAAGAACGACTCTGGCACATTTGCTGCTTTTCACCCAAGAAAGCAGTGTTTGACAGAAAGGCCTGTACTTGTTCTTTATGCAAAGACAGAGGGAAAAAAGTGAAAAATGCATTGTGTCCTTAAAAAAAAGCCCAAAGCCAACAATACTAGGTGTTACATACATCTTTAGCAGTGATGTAAATTTTTCTTCATATCCATTTAGTCTTCAGCTTCAGATAGATTTTTAAAAAGCAGAGGACTGCTCTGGTTGTTTACTTAATCAAAACTACATGAATAATAATAAAAATTATCATTAAGGCCATGTTAACAACAACAGTACCACCCATTGTGTGTGCCATTAATATCAATGGAAAAAGCTTTAGAGTAAGATGGGATGGCAGGATCACACTGTATTTTTCCACACTTTGAACTGCCAAAGACTGCAGCACAAAATTTTTTCTAGCATGGTATTCTGCTTATTTTAAATTACAGCCACTGTCCAGTTAATGAGTAATTACAAATTCTTCATTTTTTACACAATGAATGCAGTTTAAACGCATATGGAACACTATGAAATAATTAAATTGGAGTGACACCAAAAATTAAGCTATCGCAATAAAAGAACACACAAAAACAATAAATGTAAAGGAAAAAAAAAAAAAAAAGAGACGAACAAAACCCAGACCATTTTAAGGTTAATAATCTCAAGACTGTTAATAACTAAGGACATATTTACACTAAAATCTACCAACATATGTGGTCTGTTCCAGGGTTTGGAAAAAACGAAACCAAACCAAACCTCAACCCTCAATGAATGCAGGTCAGTTTCTGTATCAACTGCAGAAGGCACAAAGTAGAAAAATATTTTGCTAGGCCACTTAAACTATTTGCCAGTAGAACTATTCAAACTGAACAGTGAGGTAAGAACAATCAATGAACATAAATACCTTTATAAAAGGTGATCTGATCTGCAGAACTACAAGTTTCTTTGAAGGTAACGAATACACTACAAGAAGAAATAATTAAGTTTTGTTAGAAGAAAGCAAGGAAGAGAACTGGGTTTAGAAGTATCCAGATTTACCCACTTTACAAACCACAGGATAGTAAACCTTTCAGCTACTAATTCATACAGGAAAGCCTGACAATATCCAGAGTGTTAGAAATATGTATTTTTGTGCATTGTCTTCATTGGGCTTAATTTCACTTTTCATAAATTCAAAGGATTGAATGAAGAGAAATATAGGAAGGTCTGTCTCCTGTAATGATTGAGATATTCTCTTTATGCAGCTTTGCAAAGACTGACAGATTATTCTGAAATTTCCATGATGCCGGGGGGGGGGGGGGGGGAAAGGAAATGAACAAAAAGGGTTTTTTAAGAATTTGAAGTGGGGAGGGAGAGGGAGAAACACCACATAAGGAAAAAGGCAAACACAGAGAAGGAGAGAGGGAGGGAGAGAGGATAAATATCCTTCTACACCAGAAATTCAGCTTGCATTCCAGCAGTTTACTCTAAGTACGTGCACACTTCATGTTGCTTTGGATTAGAACTGCAGAGAGTTTTGGCTGCACTGTAATATGAAATTCAACATTCCTTACTGGTTCCATACGTCAAATTGTTTATCTAAAATAACAATAGTAACAGTTTCCTCTGTGAAATGTAAATGCATTCTTATCTGTAAGTTACCAGAGTTGTTACTACTGACCTTAGTTTAAACATTGCTCACAAAAGCAAAATCTAACAACAAAAAAAGTAAATGTGACATTCTTGCTCCTGCAGCTTGCAATTACCTTCAGCATCCAATACCCACCTTCAGCATTTATACTCAGCTCCACCGAGTTTTCTTCTGCTGTTGCATATGGATTATTTCCAACCATTGGCACCAGGCAATCAGTGTAGAAGTACCCGACTTTGGTCATGTCAAGTGTGGAAATCACTAGATCTATTGCCAGTTGACCAACATTTCCCACTGACACTGCTGGCTGAAGTCACAGAAGTTACTGAATTACAGGGTGGTTTATGGACAACACAAGATGCTCTTCAAATACTGAAAGTTTAAATTACTTCAATTCTGGTCAAACACGATTTCTAAAAGCGGCGGCTCATCCTCTGACAAAGGTAACTATTTCGTAACAGATTACTAATACAGACTTTGGTCCCTGTCCCGCAAAGAACACCCTGGCCACTCCTGTGAATAATCCTGTCTCATTGCAAACTCGAACAAGGGCTTGGAAACTTGTCTCCTCCCTCTCTTTTTTTGGATATAGAGCACACAAAAGTCACTCAAACGACTAATGCCAAGATTGGCAGGCCTCAAGTGACACCTAAGGGTAATGATGATGTTACACATTAAACCTACAAATCTCAGACTGACCCGTATACAAGTGTAGGTCGTTTTTAATTTTTTAAGGATGGAAATGCGAAGGGTCATCCTGATGCATTTCATAGGAAGTGCCATGGGTCGCCACCGATCGGGGCAGATACTGACCTAGTATGATGGCACGGAAAGAGAAACTATCACAGGAAGACAACCGTGACATTTTCGGTTGCTTCCCTCTGATTTATAAGCAAGTCCGCCTCTA